GGGATTTTTAAGACTTTTAAAGTAATGTTTCGGGTTCAAAAATAACTTTGTCTCGTTCCTCTGTTTGTAAAAACAAACTAAAAAACATGTTTACAATAATGGACATTTGAAAGTACAGACTTGTTTTGATCCCAGACAGTGTTGTTTTAGTATTGTTTATGTACTATTATAATATTTATTAATATTTAGAATTAGCTTTTTTTATATTTAGCATATTTTCAGTTTTTGTTAAAATTTTAGATTCGTTTTCTTAAATTTAGGACATTATAGGAAATTATATGTTGCACAAAGATAGTGAAGCATTATTAAAAAAAAAAATCAGGACCATTAGGATGATTTGTAATGTGACTATTTTCATGACAGTTAACTCACACAAACACTTAAATCTAAAACTATGATATTAAAAATATAAATATTAAAATATTATTTATTATATGTAAAACCTTTTATTTATAAATTTGTTCATTTGTAATTAATGTTTTTTTGTTTAATTTTTAGTATTGTTAATTTTAGTACTTATTTCAGTTAGTTACCAAGTCAACATTTCTAATTTAAGTTTTCAAATTAATTTTAGTTTATGTTTTAGTAATTTTGCTATGTGCTTTTGTGTTTTTATTTGTTTTGTTCATTTTTAATAGTTTTTCTTTCCATTTTTAGTATTGGTAATTTTAGTAGGCTACTTTAAATTAAACTTATTTCAGTTAGTTACCAAGGTGCATTTCTAATTTTAAGCTTTCATTTTAATCTTAGAGTAAGTTTTAGTACATTATTTTATTTTATTTTATTTTATTTTATTTTATTTTTAGTATTAGGGTTAAGGTTAGATTTTGATTTATTTATTTGTTTATCCCCCCTCCCCCAACATTTTAGTATTTATAATTTTAGTACTTGAACTTATTTCAGTTAGTTTCTAAATTGTAAGCTTCGCGATTTAATCCCACCTAACATTAATGTTTTTAAATATACTTTTATATTGCAATAATTTTACATTCAATCTTCAAATTAATGTACAAACAACCTAAAGACAGTATATTTTTGATAATTATTTAATGGCATGTTTTTTATGACTGAAGGCCAGTATCACTGATACCAATAGGCTACTACTGATGTCTCTATCAAATTAGTTTTTTCCCTAATATGTAACCATTGACTATAGCCATTCAACATTACAGTATAATTGAGATATATCAATTTTTACATTTATTAGACTTAAATTATTCTAATTTAAGAAAACCTTAAACAATCTTCATATAAACCCATTATAATAAATGTCATATTTAGAAGCAGTTAACGGGCTCAGCTCTATTGGGTCTGGCTCATTAGACTCTTCTCACCGGGTATGTGGAATACAACACAGTGGGATTGTATGTGTTCCCCAAGCGTAAGCTACGCAGTGTCGAGAGACCGAACTTGATGGGGAACGTCTCCGGTTACGTACGTAACCACTGTTCCCTGAAAGGAGGGAACGAGACACTGTGCGCGCTGCTGTGTTGTAATCCTCAGAGTCTTGTACCTATTCGAACAGTCGAAAGATTCTGAGGCAATGACGCTGGACGTCGACCTATATAGTGGGTGGCTCCGCCCCTAGCTCGAGCGTCATTGGCCGGTAAGATTTACCGGCGTGATGCAATAAGGCTTCAGTATTTTAGGAGGAGAGGGATAACCCCAAGCGTAAATTACGCAGTGTCTCGTTCCCTTCTTTCAGGGAACCGAGGTTACGTACGTAACCGGAGACGTTTTTAACAGAGGGTTAAATATTGCAAGTTTGGATGAGCTATTAGACAGTCTATATGGGAATAGCAAGACGTGTTTACAGAAAGAACCAAGTCTCAAACAACATTGCTTCTACTGTTTTTAGTTCTTAGTTACAGCCTGAAGCATGATGTATGGTATGAGTCAAAAAGTGAGTCAGTGAGTTGAAATTATGTAAAGACGTTAAATGTTTCCACAGTGTTTTGTGGGTGCTCCATTGTAATCTATTCTGTGTTCGAGTCCAAAATTCCTTAACTTATGTACACTTGAAATTAAGATTTTAATTTTTTGAATGAAATGAAATCTTTCATTCAACAATGACACATTAAATGAATCAAAAGTGAAAGTAAAGAGAATTATAATGTTACAAAAGATTTCTATTTCATATAAATGCTGTTTTTTTTTTTTTACTTTCTATTCATCAAAAAAATCCTAAACAAAATATATTGTGATTTCCACAAAAATATTAAGCTCCACGGTTGTTTTTAACATTGATAATAATATTAAATGTTTCTTGAGATTTCTGAAGGATCATGTGCCACTGAAGACTGGAGTAATGGCTGCTGAAACTTCAGCTTTACCATTACATTAATAAACTACATTTGAAAATATATTTAAATAGTGCTGTCAATCGATTAAAAAATAACTAATTAATTGCACTTCTGAAATTAATCGCGATTTAATCCCACCTAACATTAATGTTTTTAAATATACTTTTATATTGCAATAATTTTACATTCAATCTTCAAATTAATGTACAAACAGACAGTATACAGTATATTTTTGATAATTATTTAATGGCATGTTTTTTATGACTGAAGGCCAGTATCACAATAGGCTACAGGCTACTACTGATGTCTCTATCAAATTAGTTTTTTCCCTAATATGTAACCATTGACTATAGCCATTCAACATTACAGTATAATTGAGATATATCAATTTTTACATTTATTAGACTTAAATTATTCTAATTTAAGAAAACCTTAAACAATCTTCATATAAACCCATTATAATAAATGTCATATTTACCTGTGCCCTTCAGCAGAAATATACAGAAATTGACATTTAAGTTATCAAACACTAAATTCTAAATTAAATATAGATGAATCCTTAAAGCCATAAAAGTTATTGATTTTGTCTTTTTTCTTTTTTTTCTTTGATTAACAGTCATCACAGCAGCTAGTTATTAGGTTATTTTGGCTGCTATTACTTTAAAAGCTGCCGCTGCTAAACGTGATGCGAATCTGACACGCATCGTATATTCTCTCAACTCTCTTCACCTTTTCTGACCCACTTCAGGTCTTAAAGTCTCTATTAATGAGCTGACGAGTTAAATAAGGCGTGTTAGATAAGTGAGACAGTGCTGGGCTCCAGGACAGTTTTGAAAACCATTTCAGAGACATGTTCTTAAATGTAACTCATATATAATATATTACATGCATGCACAGTTTTAAGGCAGCTTTAATCACCTTTTTGGTAACTTCATGACTTAACTGACCACGACATTGCATGCACGTAGTTTCATTCGCGCTTTGATATGAAATGATACAGGCTACAGCGCGCGCTACGAGCACAGGGCCGTTTCCATGCTCGTTTGACTCGCGTCTGGTGCAGAGGTGAAGTGGAGGCGCATCTGAAACGTCTCTTGTGTGATGTGATCATAAAGATGTTCTGTGACTGAATAAATACACTTCTTGTCAAGAGAAAAAGTGACAGAAACAGCAGCTGTGGGTGGGGGTTTGTACCATTCCCATTGACGAAGTTGCCGTATTTTCTCACACAAAGATAACGTCTATTTGAAAATTTTCTTCGCCGTTTTCGTATGCTGTATATCTGAGCGCTGCCTTTGTACTTTTGACTGAATTGCATAGCAACTTTTATGATGGCTGTTGTTATTTGTAATATTTGTATAATATTTTTTTTATTTTGCATTGAAATACGTCATGTTTTCCTGAGATTCAGTGGTAGGCTCACAATCTCAGTCGTTCGTTTAGTGATGAATGAACACATGGTTTTCTTCCGATTTTATTCTGAATAGAAACTTCGTTGTGGATTTTGAATCTCATTTAAATTCTTCCGTCATAGATTTGAATGTGAAGTGCTGGACGCGTGTCGAGCAGGTGCTTCAGGAGCGGGTGTGTTTTGCTGAGAGAGCTCATCTCTGGGAGGATCAGCGGCCTGACGCTCTCAAATCTGTTTTCGCCGATGCTTTCCAGGCATTTATGCAAATGTGCAACAGCCGAACAGTTTGTCTGCTTTCTTTAGCATTTGTGCTTTTCCTTTTTCTCCATCTGCTCTCATTGCGTTCTTTATTAGCTCTGTTTGCGTCACTCTGACTGTTGCTTGTACTAAACCCTTACTGTAAGCATTAAACATCAGTGTGTAACTAATCCCACACAGTTTGAGCTACAGACGAGCAGGATTCCTCAAGTCATGAGGCTGGTGGAGGAGATGTATTGTGCTGTGTAAGTGATTAGGACAATTAAACAGCTGTAAAAAATCCCACAGACTGACACTGAAAGAGCGACTCGAGCCATACAGAGACCAGACTATCACAGAGACACAACACAACAGTGCTGGATGCTTTTTAGGCAAGATAGTAAGAAATCACAACCACACAGAACAGCACAGAAGGCGAGTAACAACGTAGCAGTGACTTCCCTTGTGAAAAATAAATATACTAAAATGTATTTGAAATACATTTATTTCATGCTACATATACTACAAATACATTTACATATTTATATTCTAAATAAAAATACCTTTCAATTGTACTTCTGGTATACTAAACTGGTATACTTAAAGGGTGCTAAATTGGAACAACAAATTTTTTGCTTAATGCACTTTAATTGTGTGGAAGTAGTGCTGAAGTGCAGCTAAAGATATACTGAAGTGTATTTGATTGTGCTAAAATGGAACTATTGCAAGTACACTTCAGATACACGTTAAATATCTTGCATTTAAAGACCGGTAATATTCAAAGATCATACAATCCTCATCAATAGTGACATTAAAACACATTTTAGACTTAATATTAAGAAATGTGCATTGTGCACAAGAGGTGCTCCAAATAAATCTTAATTATAATTTATAAATCAGCAAGAATACTTAAGTATGAAATAAATGCATTTTAAATATATTACTTTTTTTTTTACTAAGGTTTACAGCACAGTTTCTCACAGTTCCTCAGGAAAAAAATCAGTAAATGTTTTCTCTGAAATCATCTCTCTCTCTCTCTTCATAACCTCAGCATCACCTCCAACGGGAAGCAGCAGCGCAGCATCCGATCGTCATTATAGATAAGCTGCTGGCTGAGATCTGCTTCACTCAGTGTAAAATTACAGTGAGTCACGTGAAGGTTAGTTACCGCTCTGATGCCTCGCTCTCTTGGGACGGGACGTGTCCCGCTAAACAGCGCTCGCTATCACACACACACACACACACACACACACACATGCACACACATGCACACACACACTAACACTCACGCACGCACACGTACACACACACACACTCACACTCACACTCACACACACACACACAAGCTCATGCACACACACACTCACGCACACACACACACACACACACACACGTTTACACTTTTGTATTTTATGCTGTCAGACTGAAGTTAAGTATTGAATGATGATCGTTTGCATGAAATGATAATTATCATACTATGTGTTTGAGTAGCCAATTAGCTTTTGTATCCAAAATGACATTTAGCACAGGTTCAGTTTCTCTGAAGTGACCTGATCACGTTTGATCTAAGGGTAATAATGATAGTTCATGGATTAACCCTTGAACCTACAACTTATTGATTACCAGGCTAGACAGGGTTAATTCACCCAAAATTATTTAATTTGATCATTTAATTTGATTATTTAATTCATAAAACATAATCATTATTATTATTGTTGTTAAATTGTTTATATTTTATATTGTATTTTTATAATATAAATAATAATTGTATTTTTTTTAAATATGTACAATAAAATGACATTATTACATTATATGATATTGCTATATTCAATTTTTATAATATGTAGAATCATTTTATATTTTTAATAAAATATATACAATATAGTCATGATTATTATTATTATATATTATAAATAATTTTGTCATTTTGTAAAAATATATGTAATGCAATGATATATTTATCCTCATTATTAATATCATTATTGTTATCGTTCTTCTAAATTATAATTGTATGTTTTCTAAAAAAAAAAAAAGTACAATATAATGATGAAAGTATTATTTTTATATTTATTTAGTATTACATTTATATAATATGCATATAATCTATTTTGTATATATGATATAGTCATATATCATCATCATTATCATTATTATTATTGTTGTTGTTGTTGTTTTTATAATATAAACAATAATTTTAAATGTTCTAAAAAATATATGCAATGTAATTATATATGTATCCACATTAATTAATTAATATTATTGTTGTTATTATTTATAATTATATGTACAATAATTTATATAATATAATGATATTTATCATTATTATTGTCACTATTTATATTTATTATTATTAAATTTATATTGTATATATTTTATATGACATTTTTATCATATAAATAATACTTTAAATGTTGTCTATTTTTTTATATATGTAATGTAATATGTGACCCTGCAGCACAAAAGCAGTGTTAAGTCGCTGGGGTATATTTGTAGCAATAGCCAACAATACATTGTATGGGTCAAAATTATCCATTTTTCTTTTATGCCAAAAATCATTAGGATATTAAATTTAATGTTTCATGAAGATATTTTGTAAATTTCCTACCGTAAATATATCAAAACTTAATTTTTGATTAGTAATATGCATAGCTAAGAACTTCATTTGGACAACTTTAAAGATGATTTTCTCAATATTTAGATTTTTTGCACCCTCAGATTCCAGATTTTCTTTGTATCTCGGCCAAATATTGTCCGATCCTAACAAACCACACATCAATGGAAAGCTGATTTATTCAGCTTTCAGATGTATAAATCTCAATTTAAAAACATTGACCCCTATGACTGGTTTTGTGCTCCAGGGTCACATATATTTAATGAATACATTATTATTATTATTGCATATAATATTTTTAAAATAAAAAATAATGCAAAATACAGTTTGTTGGCCTGAAATCTTCCAGTCTGTAGACTCAGTCACCACTGGCAGGTGAAACAAACTCAATTTGCTGCCCTACACTCCCTCGCAGCTCAAACATCCCGTCTCTTTTCCTCCGAGGCACAGCTTTGTTTACAGCACTGATGAATTCAGAGCGTCGGTGATGGATCCGTCCCCTCACAGACGGCTCTGGCTCTGCTAGCTTTATCTGTAGCGTTTACTGAGTACATATTTACGAGCGCGCGGCTCCTGCTAGAATAGAGGTGGGTTTGCGGGACGCCTGAGCAAACACGGGCGGCGGAAACTGGGTTAGCGACACATTAATGCCTGTATCAGCTGTAAAGATGTGCACAATATCAAACAATCACGTCTCGCGGGACTCGGCTCCAAAACGCATTCATCCTCCTCTAACGCTGTGTGTTCACTTAAGCCTAATTGTGTTCTCTGAGCAAATATTTCACAGTTATGACTTCATTTGCCATTATCCCTTGAAATTGGGCACTTTTAATGTGCCATTGATGGCAATGTAAACACAGCGTCACTGAAAACTCGTTTTTCTCGTTAAATCTACAGTTGAGGTCAAAAGTTCACATCCCCCTTTCAGAATCTGCAAAATGTTAATTATTTTACCAAAATAAGAGGGATCATACAAAATGCATGTTACTGACCTGAATAAGATATTTCACATACAAGATGTTTAGAAAATAATAGTTGAATTTATAAAAATGACCCCGTTCAAAAGTTTACATCCCCTTGATTCTTAATACTGTGTTGTTACCTGAATGATCCCTCAGGGCCCACAAATTCTTTGGTTTTCCGGCATTTTTGTGTATTTGAACCCTTTCTAACAATGACTGTATGATTTTAAGATGCATCTTTTCACACTGTGAACAACTGAGGGACTCATATGCATCTATTACAGAAGGATCGAACGCTCACTGATGCTCCAGAAGGAAAAACCATGCATTAAGAGACAAAATGAACAAAAAGTAAATCTTTCTTATTTTGCCTAAAAATCTTCTTTTTTTTTTTTCTGTGAACAACTGAGGGACTCATATGCATCTATTACAGAAGGATCGAACGCTCACTGATGCTCCAGAAGGAAAAACCATGCATTAAGAGACAAAATGAACAAAAAGTAAATCTTTCTTATTTTGCCTAAATATCTTCTTTTTTTTTTTTTTTCATTTAGTACTGCCCTTCAGAAGCTACAGAAGATAGTTACATGTTTCCCAGAAGACAAAATAAGTTAAATTTACCCTGATCTTCAAATTCAAAAGTTTTCACCCCCCGGCTCTTAATGCGTGGTTTTTCCTTCTGGAGGATCAGTGAGCGTTTGAACCTTCTGTAATAGTTGCATATGAGTCCCTCAGTTGTTCACAGTGTGAAAAGATGGATCTCAAAATCATACAACTGTGTGTATTATCAGCCTCATTAATGATCTGATGGACCTCATCAAAAATTTACACCTCACAGCTATTTATCTGAAGCAGGTCTAGTTTTTATTCAATCAAGTCATTCATTCATTATGCATGCGTGTGTGTCTCGGGCTGAATGAGAAAGAGAAATGGACCGAACGAGTGAGAAAACGATAAGAAACGACTGTTTAAAGAGAGACTAGAACGAGATGCTAAATGTGCAATTACGCAAAACCTGAGCAGCGCTAATCATTTACTTCTGAACTAGAGGCGATTCAGAGACGAACCGTGTTTTCTGAAGATAATGTGAGCAGCGTGAGCCTGAAGAATAACTCTCCTGCACAAGTGGAAAAGTGTGAATTTCAGGAAAAAACAATATTACTTAAACCAATTTGCAGTCTGGTAGTTTTAGGTGGTTGCTATGCAGTTGCTAAGGTGTTCAGAATGGTTTTTGTTGCATTGCTCTTCAGTTGCTAATGCATTCTAAGTTGCTTTTGGGACATTGGTATGTGGTTGCTAGGGTATTTTAGGTGGTTGCTAGGGTTTTTTGTGGGTTGTTTATTTGCCCAGGTGAAACGTTTTCAGTGTTTTAGATGCTACAGACCCCCAAATATAACCATCCTGTTGCAAAGACTCCCAGCTTAAAATTTGAAAAGGCAGCTGTATATTTTCATTTACATTTGTTGTAGAATTGATTTTAACCTAGAAATTGCTAGTAAATTTACAGAGTAAAAAACAGAGAAATGGCAAGTCACACTGAATTAAACAAGATATTTTGAGGTAGAAATAATTAAATAGTATTTTCTTATAAAACGTACTGCAATAATCTGTTGTATATTTACAACTTCGAAAAATAATTTTCATGATGAATAAAGACAAAAAAGAATTTTATAAATATCTGTAAAATATTATTGTAAAATATTTATTTATTTATTAAACTAATTGATTTAAAATATTATTTAAAAAAAAATGTTAACTTTATTTATTTTGTCTACCATTGGTAGGTGTGGCAAAAATATTTTGGACACTGATTTTAAAGTAATAATAATAATAATTAGTGCTGTGTTCGATACATCGATACGACGAGGTATCGTCACAGAGAACTGACGATACAAATATCGATACAGCTGTCCCTGTATCGATATCGCGGCACGTGTGCAGCAGTGGACCGCGCTTAATTTGTATACGAGAAAACCGTTTAAAACGGAGTAGAGGTGCAAGGTAAGTGCAAGGTTTCTAAAAAATAATGAATATAATGAACAGAGCATAATATGTAGGCTACAATGAGGTTTAATCTGGCCGCAGAGGAACACAACTGGGTTGCCTGATATAAAGAGACGTAATCCCCAAAGCAGAGCTTCACACTTGCGCAACATGGAAATATCTGCTAAGCGTGTTACTTATCTTTGTCAACCTGGCAACCATGTGTACACGCTGTCTCTCCACTGTGGATAAACACGCTTGCTTTCTGAAGACACCGGTAAGCTTGCAGTTTAGCGATCTCCACTTCAATATTCTATTCTCAGAAAAGTGTGATTTATCAAGTGTTCATTTATGAGAGAGAGAGAGAGAGAGAGAGAGGCTGTGTGTGTATGAATTACCACCGTTTTGCCGCGTTTCTCTATTAACAGTGAAGCTGTGGCTTTAATTGCTTTAGAAACGATGATGTTACCAGCTCCTTATTGAGAAAGATAATGTTGCTCTTCAGCGATTAAGCTGTTTTATTGATAAAATAATTGAAAATTTAAGGTACATGCCGTTTAGCGATCTCCACTTCAATATTCTATTCTCAGAAAAGGGTAATTC